TCTCTCTGTCTCTCTCTGTCTCTGTCTCTGTCAGTCTCTTCTCTGTCTCTCTGTCTCTCTCTGTCTCTGTCTCTCTGTCTCTCTCCATCTCTCTCTGTCTCTCCCTATCTCTGTGTCTGTCTCTGTCTCTGTGTCTCTTCCCCTGTCTCTCTGTCTCTCCCAGTCTCTCTGTCTCCCCGTCTCTGTCCCTGTCCTCCCATACAAGCGCACGTGCATAGACCCACTTTAATGTGGGTCCAACTGTAAAAGGCCGAGCTGACAGAGGACTCAGAAGCGCGTGGCCTTGCTGACAGGGGAGGTAGGCCTGCGAGTCACGAGCGGTGTTGGTGTTAGAACGGTAGATCGGATAAGCCTCCGTCTGTCTGTCGGTCTGTCCTCTGCTCCCCCCTGAGCGTCTATCACGGTCTGTATGGCTGCCGCAGGACCTGCCACAGCTGGGTGGTCTAATCCGTGGACATTTGTTGTCTTACATTTCTAGAGCCTAGAGATGCAAAATCAAGGTGTGTTGGTAAAATTGATTCTCTCTGAGGGCTGTGATGGAGGAGCTGTTCCAGAACTTTCCTCTGCATGTCTCTGTAACCAGATGTCCTTGTCCTCTAAGGACATCTGTCACCCTGGACTAGGGCACGTCCTGACAGCCACACCTTAACTTGCCCACCTCTGTGAAGACCTGTCTCCAAATGAGGTCGCACTCAGAAGTACTGGGCTTAGGACTTCAGCAAATGAGTTTTGGAGGGACATAAAGCAGCCCATGATGCATTCTGTCATCTCTCTATCATCTCCGGATCCATCCGGCTACCTGTCAACCAGCGGTCATCTACCGCCTGTTACCACCTGTCATCAGTCACAGCACGTCTCTGTATCGTGCATCAACCGTCTATCATCTGCCTGTCGTCCGTCCATCCATCCACCACCTGTCTGCCTGTGTCTGCCCGCAGCCGTCTGTCCCTCATACAGACTACTCCTCTGTTCTCTCGCTGGCTACCCACCAGCTAGCCAGCTGTCTAGTTCCTCACAGAGCCCTCCCGTCTGCTGCTGCCACGGCAACACCCCGTGTTGAGCCGAGAGGCCTGCCCCATGGCCAGCCCTTCCGTGGTCACCTCCCTTCGCCCTCGTGAGAGCCCCGGGAAGGACACACACCGCCTTGTCCCCATTCTGGAGATCCGGGCACCGAGAATTAGCGCCCCTTTGCCAGGGGCAGGGGGCACTGGCTCCAGACCCATCTCACGCCCCACGTTCGGCCTCCAGGGCGCACCTGCCCACCAGCCCACGCCGTGTCTCAGGAGCCCATGGCTCAGGGAGGGTTCATGGGGGGAGCTAGGGGCGCGGCCTGGTCCACACACCTGGCTTCACTAGGAAAATGGTTCCTACAAGATCAGCCCTGGGATTTCCTCAGAAGTCCTTGAAAAGTCGGTGTGTTTGGAAGAGATCAGAAGCCCTTGTAGTCTCCAAGGACACGCGAGGATGGGTCAGCGGTTCGTGGTCAGAGATGGCAGCTGATCAGCTCACAGCTGCTGCGGCCGGGGCTCCGCAGGGGGGCGGCCCCCCCAGCAGCGGAAACGCTGAGACTGGCCAGGCGTGAGGCCCCTCCTGGCGCCCTGTGCTTTTCCTTCTTAATGGCCTGCTTGCAGAATCCTAAGATGTCAGCAGCTTTTCCCTCGGTAAATGATTCATGGGCCCCCCAAAATGGAACCATAGAGAGGTTCAGAGCAAGGCCAGATGAGTGTCTGGGTGCCAGGGGCTGGGCGTCCCTTTTGCGGGGTCACTCGCAGAAGTCGAAGGTTAAATGAGGTACCTGACGCTCACCTCTTCCTCCGTGAACCCCTGATGGAGGGGTGCGGCAGGGAATAGCAGGCCGCGGGCACCTGAGAGAAGGTGCTTGGGCAGGGCAGAGGCGGGGCCCGGGACAGCGCAGGCCCCAGCGTGGAGCGCGCCCTGCTGGCCCCCGGGCCTCACGTGTGCCACTCCCCTGCCCGGAGCCCGTGGGGGTCACTGCCTTCCCCCCAGAGGTATTACCGTCCGGATCGAGATGAAGTGCGCCATCCTCGGGTGACCCTGAGGGGCCGTGTCCCGGGCTGCGTGGCGCCTGTGGGTGGCCTCTCTCTCTCTCCCTGTCCATCTGTCTGTCCCTGTCTCTCTCTCCCTGTCTCTCTCTCTGTCTCTCCCTATCTCTGTGTCTCTCCCTGTCTCTGTGTTTCTCCCTTTGTCTCTGCCTATCTCTCCCTCTGACTTTCCCTATCTCTCTGTCTCTCCCTGTCTTTCTCCCTCTGTCTCTCTGTCTCTCCCTATCTCTCTCTGTCTCTGTCTCTATCACTCTCTGTCTCTCCCTATCTGTCTCTCCCTATCTGTCTCTCTCTGTCTGTCTCTCCCTATCTCTCTCCCTGTCTGTCTCTCCCTCTGTCTCTCTCCGTCTCTCCCTATCACTCTCTGTCTCTCCCTGTCTGTCTCTCCCTATCTCTCCCCGTCTCTCTCTGTCTCCTCCCCGTTCGAGCGCACGTGTGCAGACCCAGCAGAGGCTAAGGACGCCCAGACTGACGGGAGGAATCTGAGTGTTCTTCGCGATGACCTGCAGTGGCCCTTGTCGGGAAGGTCTTCCGCGGCTGGTGTCCCCGACGCTCCCCCGAAGCCAGTGTTGGTCCTGCTGGAGTGAACCGGCCCCGGCGGCTTGGGGGGGACGGGGGCCGTGCCCGCGGGGGCCCGAGCGCCTGCTTCACCAGGACGCCCCCGTTCACGGCCACGGCAGACGCTGTTTCACGCATGCCATGGAAACCCTGCCGCCCTGCCTTATGAATGTAAAATAATTATGATATTTCATAGTCAACAGTATTTTACTGTGAAATACCAAACTCCTCCTCTTCCTAAAAAGAATTTAAAGTGGCTTAAAGTAAGACAGAGCGTACACAGACTAACGTAAAGGTTAAAGGTCATAAAGTTAATGTAAGGAAATATTAACGAAAACAGAAACTTAGGGAAACCGACGTTGAGACGTGACTGGAACTCGCGCGTGGCCCCGGGCTCCCCGGGCGTCTGACAGGAGGAGGCCCGTGGCCCCTGTTTTCGTGGGAACGCAGGAGAGGGCCGAGCCCGCCACCCCGGCAGGGGGACACTGTCCCGTGCCGGCCCGTGGTGGAAGACATGTTGGGGGAGCTCGTGAGGCTCTGTGGCCCTGGGAGAGGACCCAGAGTGACCCACTCACGCCCACCTTCCTGGGCAGCCACGCCCTTCCCCCCCCCAGCACGTGGGCCCCTGGGGGCAGCGCTGGGGAGGCGGCGGCCAGGGTGCAGGGGGCCTCTGGTGCCCGGTGCCTGGCTGCCGGCGGGGCGAGCCTGCATGCCCTCGGTGGTGACCTTGTCACCGTGGCGTGAAGGTCGAGAAACTGGCCGGCCCAGAGGGAGGGCTGTGCTCCCAGCGGGGGTTCAGGAAGGACCTGATGCACAGTTAGCTCTTCTGTCACACGGTGGACTCGGATCTGCTCTGCTGTTGGTTCAAAGGCTCCCTTGAGTTTCCCGTGTTCAAGCTGAGGTCTCACACAACAAGTTCTAACCTTAAAATGGTTTCAAGTCAGGCATCCACAGTCAGCCACTGCCAGGGAAAACCTTCTGGGATGCTCTTCCTGACGACACGGCTCCCCGGGAACACGGCTTTCTGGGCGCGTTTACTGTGAATCACAGCCGAGCCTCCGTCCTGAGGAATTCAGTGAGCAGAACTGCAATGTCACTTTCTTGAATGCTGACCACTCGCACACTGGAGAGGACCTTCCAAAGAAAACTTGTGTTTTCATCATCACGGCTACGGCACACGTTTTCCTGGTTTATGTACCAGGCCTGTTTTATTTCTAGGGCACTCCTGATAGGGGACCTGTTTAATACATATGCACAAAGAAATTTTAGTGCTTCTCTTTTTGCTTTCAGGGTAGGAAGAGAACTCTAATGATGCCCTGAGCATGAAGATTGCTTCTCCTCAGGGTTATGTCCATAAAAGACGCCCCAAGCCGCTTCCTATAAACATCACCTTGAAGGCATGCTCCACCCGCCGCCACGGCCCCAGCCACAAGTGGGCAAGACGGGCAGAGCACCTAAGCAGGCTTTAATAAAGCAAACCAAAGCTCCGAAAAAATCCTATCCACAACACCAAGAAGGAAGCTGAAATGAAAAGGGCTGTGTGTGGAGCCTGATGAAAGAGCTTATCTAGCGTTGAGCAGGAGGGCTCCTCGGCCAGTGGGAGGAGGCCAGACCCACCTGCCCCCAGTCAGGATGGCACAGCCCCAAAGACTGCTCGCCACTCTGCCCGAGGTCACCGGGAGCCAGGAGCCCCTCAATGACTGATCCCAAATTCCAGGTTTTGTGATCCTGGAAAGGTCACCCTGAGAGGTCCTGCTTTGCTTTAGGAGACTCTGGATGGTCGGGGATGGCCCCAGCTGACCCTGGACGGCCAGAGATGGCCCTGTGTGACTTTGGGTGGCTCTAGGTAGCTGTGAATGAACCCAGATGACTCTGTTTGCCCTGGATGGTCTTGAGGGGTATGAGCACCTATGAGTGGCCATCAGTGTCTGAATGGCTCTGGGTAGCTGTGGGTGGCCATTGAGGACCGGAGTTTCCAAGGACCATTGGTGACCCTGGGTGGCTCTGGGAGATATTGGGTCTTCCTGGGTGGCTGTGGATGTTCCTGAGTGACTCTGAGTGGTTTGGGGTGGTCTTTTTGACTCTTCATGGTGCTGTGTATTCTGGGTGTCCCTGATGGTCCTGGGAGGCAGTAGATGATTCTGATGGTTTTGCATGGCTTGGGGGCCCTGGATGACCTTGGTTGATGCTGAGTGGGTGTGAGTGGTAGTGGATGGCGACAGATGGCCCTCAGTCACGCTGTATGTTCATGGGTGACCTGGTTCTACCAGGGTGGCCCTAGGTGACCCTGCATGTCTCTGAGTGCACATAGATGGCCATGGGTGGTTTGGGGAGTTGGGTGCAACTCCTTGTCTGGGATCGTGGCATGAAGTCTGGCACCTGAGCTCTCACTGGTTGTCTCTGGGTGTGCAGAGACATGGTCTGGTTTCCAGTGTCCGAGCGCAGCCAGCACAGGTCCGGGAAGGCGGGTGGGCGCCTTGTTGACAGCGCTCTGCTCTCCCGCCCCAGGCGTGGGCTTCACGGTCATCCTCATCTCGCTCTACGTGGGTTTCTTCTACAACGTCATCATTGCCTGGGCGCTGCACTACCTCTTCTCGTCCTTCACCGTGGAGCTGCCGTGGGTCCACTGCAACAACACGTGGAACAGCCCCAACTGCTCAGAGGCGCGCTCCAGCAACTCCAGCTCCAGCTCTGACCACACCTTCCGCACCACGCCTGCCACTGAGTACTTCGAGTAAGTGGGGGTCCGATGCCACGGCACACACTGGGCTCGCGGGCCGCGGGAAGGGAGGGACACGCCCTGCGAGCGTGTGCTGAGGACCCCTGTCCCTTGGCCACGCTTCATGCCTCTGGGTTCTTGGAGACGCTGTCCTGAATCCCGATCTTGGACGGGGGTCCTCAACTGCGGTGGACGGTGGACAGTGGACAGTGGATGGCAGAAAGGCCCCGGGCAGCTTCGCCCACTGTGCTCGGCTCTGTGGGCGGCAGGAGGCTGGCCAGAGCTGCCTGGAAGGAAGGCGGGCTGCCTCCAGTGTGGGCCGGGCTCTGCCCACTCCGTTCTCCCGCCCCACCTCTGAGGGCAGAAAACACCCTCCAGCCTCCTAAACAGACAGGGCCTACCAACCCCCACTGTTGCTTTTCCTGAGAAGTTCCTTTCCTTTTACAAACCCAGCATCCATTCTTGCGCGAGTCCCTCCTCAGGCCCCACATCCAGTGGCCTTCCCGGGGCCCTGCCCTCCCCTGCATCCCACACCACATGCGCCCACGGCCTGCAGGTGCGGCTCTCCCCGAGTCTGTTCTTCTCTGGTCCTCTCGGGCCGGCTCCTACTCCCTCGTTCTAGTCCCCACTCGGGCGCCTGAGGCTGGAAGGGCCGTCAGTGCCCCTGTGGGTGCATCGTTTCTCCTCAGAATCCGACGCTTGCTGAGGAGCCCTCCCGAAACGACCCTGACCCTGGCCGTCGAGTAACACGCAGTCCTCATGCGGACGCGTTCATAAACGTGCATGGGGCCCGGGGGCTCCGGAAGACCCCCCCAGGTCCCCGGCGGCTCGGGCGGCTCGGGCGCTCGCTGTCCTGACTCAGCTTCCCGCGGGATGAGTGCAGGCGACCGCGGGCGTCACACTGACACTAAAATTTCCCGTCCACGGGGAGGTTTCTCGTGAGGGCGCCTCTCCCTTGGCCACATTCCGTTCATGTTTATATGTAAACGAGTCCACTTAACAACTTAGCAAAAGGAACTTGCACCAACAAAACTAGAACAGTTCTGGTCTAACAGCAAATAGGCACGTTTGCCAACCTTGTTTGGAGTTAGAAAACCGTGTCCTCCCGGGAGGAGCCAGGACTCGGGCGCGTGGACAGGCACGCGGCCGCAGGATGGGAGCCCCGGCTGCGGAGAGATGCTGCCGGCAGGGGTGGGTGTTGGGTGGTGGGTGTTCACAGGACTGGCCTCCACACAGCATCTGGAATGACTGTGTTTCAGACCCTGAGAATCTGAATGCTTTGTTCCGTGGTTCTGTGCCCCATGTGGGCACTGTATCTCCATGGTGGAAAGCGGCAGGGAGGGGCAGGAACGTGGGGCGCAGGTTTGGAGGGTCTGGAGGTGCAGCTGGGAGGACGGGTGGTTTCCTTGAGCCGTGGTCAGGAAGAGTGTGGTCAGGCCGGGTGAGGTCGTGTGCCACAGGACGTGCTTATGTTTTTAGGAAGATGTCGTTGGTTTGCAACTGGAGGAGAGTGGACATATGTGAGGAGGACAGGGAAGGGGAAGAGAGGGCCCACTTGCAGAGGGGCTGTGAGCCTCGCTGGGAGCTCTCAGGAGGGGCGGGCTGGTTTCAGAGGCCGGCCCGGCGGGGGGAGCCCGCAGCTGTGAGAAACAGAGAGGCAGGGAAGTTTACAGTGTGTGGATGGGACTCTTAACGTGATGAGCAAGCGAGAATTGTCCAGATAAAGAGAAGTCGAGTTTGCTGCTCTTAGGGGTGAAAAACGCCACACGGCTTGCTGCTGAGCTGTTCACCGCTGCATTTCCCAAATTTAATAGTGTCTCACTGACGGGTCGTGCCCGGGCTGCGTGTGCCCTCACCCCTGTGGCCCAGTGCTCAACTTGGCCATGATCAGAGGGAAGGGCTCTGCAGGGGCAGACACGGTGGTGGATGAGCACCTGGGGGCCTGTGGTCAAGTGCCCTGCACTGGGGGGCACTCAGAGGTGCTCAGTGCTGGCTTGAGTTTAGTCCATAATCACACCAACAAAATGAGGACTCAGGTTTCAAGCTAGGATGTCTCTTACAATTTTGAAATGGAGACTCGCAGAGAGGTTGAAAGGCGCCAAGTGACACCATTGGGGACCACCTGTCTTTTGTTTGGAGGTGCAGAAGGATTCACGGTGGGAAGGGTCCCACCAAGACTGCAGAGGGAAGCATGATGTTGCTGTTACTTTCGTTAGGTCTTACCCGAGAAAGCGGAGCCTTTGTTGGTGTTTGCCCCAGAAGCGCTGTCCTCATCAGCCCCGGCACTTGCCCACATCCCCAGCCTCAATCCCTGGCGGGCGTGCATGAGGAAACATGGCCGGCTCAGAGCCGAAACCAGAGGACTGTGGTTGTAGCTCCAGGGCTGAGAAATGGTGCAGGGAACTCTCTGGACAGATGTGAAGTCTGAGCCAGGACAGCGCCTGTGGGCTTGGAAACCCCAGAACAGGTCGTGTAACTCCAACAAGTTCAAATGTCCCGCAGTTCCATAGACACTTACCACCACCTTCACCTTCTTTCTACTGTGAACTAGAAAGCTACATGTTTGCCTCTAAGAGAAGGCTTTAGCTGCCTCCCACAAAGCTCCACGTGCTGTGTTTCCACTTTGCTTCAGTTCCAAGTACTCCCTGGTCTGCCTTGTGATTTCCTCTTTGACTCATGGGAGATTTGGGGAACTTCCCATTTAATTTTGAAATCTTTGGAGGTTTTCTAGATATGCTTCTATTTTTGATTTCTGACTTAATTCTGATTTAGCGACATATTCTACTTATAAAGCTTCATTATCCCAAAACATCCTGAGACCTTTGATGCCCGGTATATGGTTTATCCTGGTGGGTATCACAGGGGCGCTTACAAAGAACAGGTGTTCTGCTGTCACTGGGAGGGAGTTGTGCCGTGTCCACAGGTCGTGGGAGCTCCTTACGGTCCACTGTCTTCCCAGCTGCTGAGAAGGGGTGTTGGACTCTCAACCGTGATTATGCATCTGCCTCTTTGTCTTCACGATTCTATCAGTGTTGACTTCATTCATGCATCTTGGGGGCTGTGTTATGAAGTGTGTGTTCATTTATGAATATCAAGTTTTTGAATGGACCCCTTTGCAGCACCAAATGTCCCTCCTGGTCATATTCCTCATCCTAAAGCAGCTTCGTCTGGCAGCAGAATGATCACCCTTGCCTTCTGATGCAGAGTGTTTGCATCGGTACCTTTTCCATCCTTGTGTTTTTAACCCATGTGGGTCCTACCGCGAGTGCATTTCTTGTAGACGGTGTAGAGCCGGTTCTTGCTTTTTCACTCAGCATAACAACCTCTGTCTTGTCATTGAAGTTCCCATTCAATAATTATCCCTATGGTTGGATTTAAGTCTTTCGTCTTGATTTTTTTTTCTATTTGTCCCATCTTTTTGTTTCTTGTTCCCTCTAACTCTTCTTTTGAATTAATTAATTTTTAGGCTTCCATTTTAGCTATGCTATTAGTTAATAAGCTTTGTTTTAACTTTTGTGGATATTTATAGGGTTTACAATGTACATCTTTAATTTCTCATCCTCTACTGTCATATGACATCCTACCATGTCACATGTAATTTAGGAGCCTTACAACATACTCCCATTTTCCCGGCCCGTCCTTTGTTGTCATGGGTTTTCTTTCTACAGGATGTCATAAACTCCACGATACGTTGATACTATTCTTGCTTTAAATAGTCAGTTACATATTAGATAAATTTGAAATGGAAAAATGACTTTTGTGTTTACCTGCATAGTTGCTATTTCTGGGGCTCTCCGATCCTTATGTGGATCCAGATTTCCATTTTGGCTTCATTTCCTTCCATCTGAAGAATTTCCTTTAACATGCCTTACAGTGTAGGCTGGCTGGCAATGAATTTTCTCTGCTTTAGTTTTCCTGAAACATATTTTGCCTTCATTTGGGGGAATTTCTTTAAATGGTGATAAACTATACATAACATAAAATATATCATTTTGACCATTTTTAAATGTGTGCTCAGTGGCCTGAAGCACACTCACAGTGCTGTGCAGTCAACACCACCCCCCATCTCCTGGACTTTCTCATCCTCCCAGATGGAAACTCTGTCCCTCTCCGGCCCCCCCAACCCCAGCCCCTGGTGCCCACTGTCCTACTTTCCGTCTCTGTGAATTTGACAACTCTGGGGACTTCATATAAGAGGCGTCATCCAGCATTTGTCCTCTGTGTCTGGCTTATGTCACCCAGCATGATGTCCTCCAGGTCCATCCACGCTGTAGCAAGTGTCCGTTTCCTTCCTTTTGAGGCTGAACAATATTCCACTGTGTGGATGGACCATATTTTGTTCATCTGTCAATGGACACTTGGGTTGTTTCTATGTCTTGGCTATTGTAAATAATGCTGCAGTGAACGTAGGGGTGCAGATGTGTTTTCGAGTTAGTGTTTTCATTTTCTTCAGATAAATACCTAGAAATGGGATTGCTGGATTGTATGGTATTTTTGTTTTTAATTTTTTAAGGAACCTCCATACTGTTTTCCAGGGTGACTGCACCAGTGTGCATTCCCAGCAACCGTGCACAGAGGGCTCTTGTCTCCAACATTGTTGCCAGCACTAGTTATTTCTTGACTTTTTTATAACAACCATTCTGACAGATGTGAGGTGATAATTCATGGTGGTTTAGATTTGTATATCCCTGATGATGAGTGATGTTGAACCTCTTTTCATGTGTCTGTTGGCCATGTGGATGTCTTCTTTGGAGAAATGTCTGTTCAGATCTACCCTTTTTTTTTTTTAAATCAGATTGTTTGTTTTCTGCTATTGAGTTGTATGTGTTTTTCATATATTTGGGGTACTAACCTCCTATGAAGTGTATGATTTGCAAATATTTCCTTCCATCAGCAGGTTGACTTTTCATTTTGTTGGTGGTTTCCTTCACTGTGCAGAAACTTCCTAGTTTGATGTAACCCCACTCTGCCCATCTTTAAAATGTTTGGGGTTTTCTGTTGTGGAGTTTTAAATCTTTATATATTCTGGATATTAATCTCTTATCTGATAGATGACTTGCAAATATTTTCTCTCATTCTGTGAGTTACCTTTTTACTCTGTTGATAGTGTCCTTTGATGCACAAAAGGTTTTTTATTTTGATGAAGTCAAAATACCTATTTTATTATTGTTGTTGATTGTCATATCAGAAAATCCATTGCCAGGGGTGCCTGGATGGCTCAGTCGGTTGAGCATCTGCCTTCAGCTCAGGTCACAACCTCAAGACCCTGGGCTCTTTGCTCAGCGGGGCACCTGCTTCTCCCTCTCCCTCTGCCGCTCCCCCTGCTTGTGCTCGCTCTCTCTCTGTCAAATAAATAAATAAAATCTTTTTTAAAAAAAAGAAAAGAAAATCCATTGCCAAACCCAAGGTCACAAAGATTTACTCTGCTGTTTCTTCCAAGAACCTGTATGTTTGGCTCTTATGTTTAAGTTCTTTACCCATTCTGAGTTAATTTTTGTATTTCGTGTGAGGGAGCTGTAGGCCACATTTTCTTCCTTCTTGTTGTGTCTAGTGATTTCCTTATTGCACACCAGGCTTGATGAGTTTTACATTCGTGTGTGTTAGGTTTTGTTGTCTTCCTTCAAGACATGTTACGTTTGTTCTGGTAGGAGGTTCATTTGCTCGCGGGGCAGTTTCATCCTCTTAAAGCTTGTTTGTAAGCTGTGTTGAGGTGGATCTGGCTGGACTTTGCTTCAGGAATAGCTCATCCCTCTGCCACAGTGTGGCCCTTCCAGAGCCCCCCCGCCCCGGGGTTCCCCGCGGGACCTGCGAGCCCCCTGCTCTGGCCAGCAGGAGCTCAGCGACCCCAGGCCTGTGTCAGCTCCAGGAACCAGTCAGTCAGCCGCCAGCTCCGAGGTGCTGCTCCCCAGGTCTGTGGGCACTGGGACAGGTCCTTCCCAGCACCTCAGACGGCCTGAGCTCCAGCACCTTCACTTGCTGCCCTCGGGACACCCCTGCCCTGCCCTGGGGGGAGCGCAGCCAGGCAGGAAGCTGGGGCATTGCTGGGCTCACCTTATCCCTTCCCTTTCCCTCGGGCTTCAGGCCTGCATCGCTTCCAGTCCCCTGTCTAAAAACCCCCGTTTGGTGTCCTTTGTCCAGCTTCTAGTTGTCTGTGATGTCATTCCTTTGGGGCCAGAGTGGAGCCCCTCAGCTCCTTTCTCCGGACGCCACCACTCTCTGGACAGAGCATGGGTTGAGTTAGGCTGTCTGGGTCCCAGCCCCTGCTCTGCGGCTCTCTGCCTCCAGGTTGGGGTGGTCCTTATGCTCTGGGTGCCTGGAAATGGGGTCGGGGGCTGCTGTGGGGATTCAGCCAGGCAGGGTTCATGGAGCCTGATGCATGCCTGGCACGCCTCAAATGCTCTCTTGGTGTCCAGATCCAGGAACCATGACAACAAACTCACCTAAAAAAGGATTCCAACAGAAAGTAGAAGTGTTGTCCCTTTCCCATGGCTGGTGACCTCCCAGGCCATCACGGTCTGGTCCTCCCGACCACTTATGGTTCCAGACGTTTCTGCATGTCAGCCCCAAACCGCCTTACCCAGACACCTTTCATCGACTCACCGGGCCATGCCCCCCGTCCCTGGGAAGTGCATTCCTGCGCTGTGCCCGGAAGCTGTCTGCAGTCAGTGGGGGGCGGTCCCCACACGGGGTTGGTGTATGCCAGCTCCGTCCCCAGGGTGATGGCACTCTGCAGTGTCCTGTCCCCTAAGCTGTCTGAGGAATTTCAAATAACGTCAGAGCAAGATGAGTTTTTAATCTTGGGGAGGGAATTGAACCAGTACAATCGTGCTAATTCCAGAAGCGATTTGAAACATTTACAAGTGAAGCCAGCATGTGTGGTGTGCACCCCTCCATCTAGGAGGCTACAGACATGCTTGGGCCGCCAGGCTCCTCTCCCGGACAAATGAGTAAATAAATGGCCATCCACCGCCAGGCCGAAGCGTGTGACCTGTGCATGGGTGAGGCCAAGGTGTGATGGGGCCTTTGGCCATGTGGTCTCTCTCAGCGCTGTCATCCCGAAGAGACTTCTCCTGTTAGTGGATAGAGGTTCTGGGTGATAAGGTCTGGCTGGGGAGCTAGGACACGGGGGGTGGAGGGCAGCCAACACAGAGCCAGAGCTGGGAGGCGTTGGGAACTCTACTGCCGGAGGAGGGGCCAGGGAGGGCAGACCCAGGGGTGGACAGGCCATGGGGAGGACAGAGCCCGGGGAGACAGACCCCAGGGAGGGCAGACCCCGGACAGACCCCGGGAGAACAGACCCAGGGGTGGACAGGCCATGGGGAGGACAGACCCCGGGAGGACAGACCCCAGGGAGGGCAGACCCAGGGGTGGACAGGCCATGGGGAGGACAGACCCAGGGGTGGACAGGGAGGACAGACTCCAGGAGGACAGACCCCAGGGAGGACAGACCCCAGGGAGGGCCGGGGTGGACAGACCCAAGGAGGACAGGCCATGGGGAGGACAGACCCAGGGAGGACAGACTCCAGGGAGGACAGACCCAGGGGTGGACAGAACCAAGGAGGACAGGCCATGGGGAGGACAGACCCTAGGGAGGACAGACCATGGGGAGGACAGAGCCATGGAGGACAGACCCAGGGGTGGACAGATGATGGGGAGCAGGCTCAGGGAGGACAGACCCTGGGAGGGCAGGCAGGGCACAGCCACCTGAGCATCATCCAGCAGGGGCCTCCTCCTCCTAGAGCAGCAACACCACCTGGCATCAGCTTCAATTCAAAATCCCAACTGTGAAGGTGAGGCAGCAGGTGCACAGGAACATGATGGTGCCGCACCCTTTCCTGCAGGTGGTCACGCGGATCAAAGGGGACACCGTGCAGGGAGGCGCCCAGGACCCTGCAGGCGGTCACAGGGCTCTAAGGGGATATTGGTGCACAGGGAGTGCTCCACGGGCCATGAGTCCTATTCTCTCTTCATGGTCTCATGTTCTGCCTTTATGATGAATTCCCTCCACAAGTCAGGTTCTTGAGCAAGCCTGGAGCAGAATCATCCTGAGTCTGTTACCCGCGGATCCTCCTGGAGGTAGCTGGAGCCGTGTGAGCAAATGTTGTCAGCTGTTCCCCTCAGAGAACCCGCAGGCGTCTACCTGTCCTGCTTTATCGCTCTGGCTCTGCTCAGCCTCACCCCTGCAAAGGGGACCCTGGCCCATCCCATGGTGCCTCACATCGCTGAATACCTTCCATCCGGTTTCTGAAGCTCCTTTCCTTCAGATCCAAAGCACCCATTCCTCTCCCAGCTCCAAAAATCAGGGGTGCTAAGGGTGAGAGGTCAGGACTGGGCTTCTGTGGGCTCCCAGCATGCTGCCGCCCTCGAGAGCACAGACCCTGCGTCTCAGCTAGGGCTGGTGGGCCTGACCCTTCTGAGTGGGGGTCTCTGGTGCCATCAGGCTGGGTGCTTTCGGCCAGGCCGAGGTGGGGGAGGGAAGGTCTCTGGGCAAGCTCAGCTTTCCGGTTCCAGTTCTGGGTGGGGAGGCAGCACTCCTGAAAGACCCCCCTCTCCCGCCCTCTCCAGGCGTGGTGTGCTACACCTCCACGAGAGCCGTGGCATCGATGACTTGGGTCCCCCCCGGTGGCAGCTCACATCCTGCCTGGTGCTGGTCATCATCCTGCTCTACTTTAGCTTGTGGAAGGGAGTGAAGACTTCTGGGAAGGTGAGGCTGCTAACCTTGCCAGCTGGGGAGTGAACACGGGGGCCATGGTTGGGTAGGGGAGTGGACAGGTGGGCTGTGGTAGGTTGGGGTGTGGACAGGTGGGCTCTGGTAGGCTGGAGAGTGGACAGGTGGGCTGTGGTAGGTTGGGGAGTGGACAGGTGGGCTCTGGTAGGCTGGGGAGTGGACAGGTGGGCT